AGGAGAAGTTCAGGTTACCATTAACAAACGGTCACACATGAATAAATAATAACAGAATTTAAATTAATGAGTTCCTACTAATAAAACCAGAGAGTAAAGGTTAGAGGTCAGATTGTGCTGACCCCTGACCTTTGACCTTTGACCCCCTCGGCCCCCCAGGCATCGTCTACGTGCGGGACACCACGCGGGGGGGGCTCTGCTCCTACCCGGTCTTCAACAACGGCATCAACGGGGCGTTCTGCCGCACCGAGGCCGGCCAGACGGCCGCCATCATCTTCCTGTTCGTTACCATGGTGACGTACCTGATCGGCGCCATCGTGAGCCTGAAGCTGTGGCGCCACGAGGCCAACCGCCGCTACCGGGAGCGCTACGGCCAGGAGGTGAGCCAAGGGATGGAGGTCCGACTCCGCCCACATCCAAGTCGGCCATTTTGATTAGGTCACCAATAGGAAGATCCCAGGCAAGAAAATCCTAATTCGTTTAAAAATAGTGAAATGAATCTTGCAAACACTGAATTAAACTCTATCCATAATATTATGTTAAAATAGTGGATGTTAAATAGGTTTGTACAATAAGTCCAAACAAGTTTAACCAAAAAATATTTATTTTTCACAATTATGAAGAGTGGAGGGGTTAGGGTTAGGCTCAGATTTAGGGTTAGGTTTAGGGTTAGGGTCAGGTTTAGGGTCGTTTATCTTCCGATTTCGTAGAGACAGCAAAGTTTCGTTTCCACCTCAGAAAGCTGCTAGTCACATGACCTAATCAAAATGGCCGACTTGGATATCGGAGGGGTTGGATATCCAACCAATGGGAAGTCAGATCATACCAGAGGTCATTTTACACCAAATGAGGAACATTTAGAAATGAAGAACATGATTTTAGCTAATAGAATACTTAAAATACTACACAATGTCCCTTTAAACCAGAGGATCCAATGAAAACCAAACAAATCCTGGACTCCTGGCTCCTGATTGGTGGACTCATGCTTTTCCATGCTTTTCCTGCAGGTGGCGCCCTCAGAGATGCGGGTGGTGCTCTCAGCGGTGAGTCGGTTCTTTGGGGCCTGTAAGCTCCGGCTTTGTTCCAGAGGCGGAGAGCAGGATATCCAACTCCTCCCACATCCAAGTCGGCCATTTTGATTAGGTCATGTGACTAGCAGCTTTCTGAGGTGGTAACGAAACTTTACTGTCTATACGAAATCATAAGACAAACGATGTCCTAAACCTAACCTTGACCCTAACTCTAACCCCGACCCTACACCTAACCCTGACCCTAAACCTAACCCTAACCCTAAACCTAACCCTGACCCTGACCCTAACCCTAACCCTTCATATTTGTGAGAAATAAATATTTTTGGGTTAAACTTGTTTGGACTTATTGTACAAACCTATTTAACATCCACTATTTTATTTAACATTATATTATGGATAGAGTTTAATTCAGTGTTTGCAAGATTCATTTCACTATTTTTAAATGAATGTCTATATTGCCATGAAGCAATTAGGATTTTCTTGCCTGGGATTTTCCTATTGGTGACCTAATCAAAATAGCAGACTTGGATTTCAACCCATCTGTAGCCAGACCTATTTGGAGTTGGAGGCTAAACTCTCTCTCTCTCTC